GCGGGCGCACGTGCGCTCCCGCGTTTTGGTCAATAACTCCGAAGTTGGCGCGGGGCAGTGACCCGTGACGTCACAACAGCTGATAGCTGGGTAACTAGGTCAAATTGCGGTTTTACTTCGATATTCAGTTTCCATGAAACCTGCTTTTTTCTGAAAAACGATTCTTCATGAGAGGAAATTAATGGCCAACAGTTAACGAAAGCTAACGAGCGGCTAGTGAAACTTTTGTGAACTTTTCTAACTTAACCAATTAATATTGAGTTGAGTTACTTATGAAATTTCTGAAAATTTTTTGAAATTAAAATTGCAAGATTTTTTTATTTAAAAGTACTGCGTAGTACTGAGTCATGTTTTCACCTGAAATAAAACAATGAACAACAAAACATTGACTTTTGTATTCCTTATGCCAACAGCAGAATTCTTGGTTCGACAACATGTTTTTCATTTAACTATATTAAAAATAACTGAACGGAGGCTTCTCTTCTGCCGTAAAATATGGCGTAAAAGAGGTTTCAATATCAACATAGATTTCGTTCTACATACCTGAACGAACGAATCTTATGCTGTACGTAATAGGTGCAAAATTGCATCAAAATGTATTCTGATTTGCTATCAACTGTACTGTACTGTACATAGCAGGTTACTCCAACAACTTTGCAGTGCATTTATGGATTTAATCGCTTGCCGACCGGTCTTGAGGTCTATTTGCGAGTTAAGGCCGCGCTGACGACGTCACGCACTGACATTTGATCCGGAGCTAGTCAGTTTGTCACCCAATATGTAGTAACTATCTGTGTCCGCGACTTCGTACGCGTGAAAATAGTTCGAATAATATTTCCCGTTTTTGCAACATTTTTCCTAAAGCCTTCCTCGAAAAATGGGATAACCAACACAAATATATATTTTTAAATCGGAGCAGTAGTTCCGAGATTAGCACGTTAAAGCAAACAAACAAACTTTTCAGCTTTATTAATTTCAATTTCTTCGTTTAGAAACTAACAACTGACTGAGGACAAAGTTCAGTTTGATTAATCATTATTGACAGTTAGTAAGGACTTAGCCATTTTTACAAGCTTTATATATTGACTTCACTTGTTAGTATGTGTGGGACAAATCTTGCAACTGAATTTAAGACCACTTCTCCTCAACCGATTGAGCTGAAATTTGGTATACTTATGTAAGTACGATGACAATGCAATATTATGGTACCATTGAGCTGGTCTGATGATGGAGTCGGGAGGTGGCCATAGGAACTCCTAAACAAAACGGCGGAAACTCATCGAGTTAGGGTTCGTTGGATTTGTCTTTTTAAGCACTTTAGTGTTAGATAATGTCCAGGGTCCTGATATTAAGATATAACTAAAAAGTGTAAAATAAAATTATAATAAAAAGAAACTTTTTTAAAAACAAGCTTTTATTCTGAATTTCGAAAGCTTGTAGCGCAAACAGAGAAAAAGAGGAATAAATTCCATGCGCGATACAAACTTTCGAAATTCAGAATAGGAGCTTGTTTTTAAAAAAGTTTCTTTTTATTATAATTTTATTTGATCCGGACTTTGTCCGTTTGTCATCCAATATGCAGTAATTATGTACTTCGTTCGAAACAAACAACTGACAGAGGGCAAAGCTCAGCTTGATTACTCTAGTAACCTCCTAGAAACATAATAATTTACCTATACAGTTAAGTAAGGACTTTGCGACATATTATCGCTTCCGCGCTCTACTGGTTAGCTTGAAGTGAGTTAGACTTTATCACAAGGCACAAACCAAAGTTCAGACATAACAGATTTTAATTAAATACAAAAACATCTGTTGGTAGTTAGCCATTAATTTTAAAGTATCTTATTTCATTGTTTTAAAAGCAACATCCCTTGTATTGTAATTTTCATTCATAATATCAAACAAATGACTCCTATATGTTACAATCCTACGTAATCTGAGGTGTAGGCAATTTATTTTCAAATATAACTTAACATAACATTAACAATCAAATGTAACATGCTATGGTACATTTTTATTGAAAAACTCTTGTAACACATTTCAAAATAATGCAGGTGCACAAATAGACTTTCATTCCTATTTATTTTTAAGATTATTTTAAGACATTATTAAATAAAAGTTTGATCCGATTTATTCATAATTACACTATCTCCACAAAAATGAACGAATCTTTGAACTTAGTAAGGACGCGAGTACCGGCCGCGTATGATATGACGTCCATCCGAGTTCCAAGTCGGGGCAACCTCAACGTGCAATGTAGATAGCGTTTATCGCGTAATTTATATCTGCTGGGTGTCTTGAATATGCAATTTTAAATGCCATTAATATTGATTACAAGACACCGACGCAAGTCGGGAATTCAAGAAATTACCAGTTAGTTAGTATTGATTTTAATGCTGAAAACAAATGCGATTAATACGGGCTAATGTTTATAGATTAAAACGATTTCAGAGTTTAATTTTGCGTGGCTTGCATCTCTGTATAAAAACAAAACCCTACTTCTGGCGCAGTCGGACAAAAAAGTCATAATCAATCATTAAAGTCCTCATTTTGACACGAAAGAAACTTTCTCGTTGTTTCAAAATAAGTACTTAAATATTTTCAGTAGGTAAAAAGAGTCGATCATAATTATTAAAATTAGGCTGAAATGTATCATCTTTAACTGTAACAAACGTCAGAAATCTGTCAAACTCCATACAAAATACACCGGTTATTGTCATAGTTACGGTTAAAGTGAGTTGGTGCAACTCAGCCTCTAATAAAATACTACAAACAACCCATCGATATAAAACATCTTGCGATGCTGTTCGCGTCAACACATTCATGGCTTGCATTAACAATAAAATAGGTACTAACTTGACTGTAATTTATGCCCGTAAACTGTCGGTTTTACAGCGCAAATCAATTGCGAAACGCCAACTTGGATTAATACAAAATTGCACGATTGTGCAATACCTACAGTAATAATATGACGTGTACGAAAACNCCGAAAATATTTATTTTTAAGTTATTGTAATGCTAGTAAAGGTGAAGCCAAAAGTCGTGTAAAATATTTGTAATGAACAAATTTGTTGATAAATGGGTCAGAAGTCACACGTGTGTTTAATGTATTGGCCATGTAATGAACCAACCTAGTTACTCATACCACAGAATAATACTCATACCTAGACTTTGAAATCTGTGATAGAGAACACGTACAGTCGACATTTTGAAGTGTATACTATGTCAACAGCAATATTTTGAAGTGTATACTATGTTGGAACTAGAAGTAATTTGGAAATATAGAAACTAGGAATGTTATGGATATGTAGTTTCGGTTATGGATACGGTTATGGATATAGGAATAAAATATTACACCGGTTTCGATTACCGATCGATATCCGAAAGTTTCGGTTACGGTTACGGATATCCATAACATCCCTGATAGAAACTTCGATCAAAGAAACATGTCACAGTCCACGTTGTTATTCATTGATATTCCTTGTTTCTTTTCACTGAACAGTTTACCATTTATTTATGTGTAAGATCATAATTACAAAGTATACAATAATCACAATACTCAATCAAGTACCTACTTAAAGGCAAAGAACAAAATTAAACGGAGCTGAAACAAAATATGTCGGAGGGAGTGAACTTTGAACTCGTGGGACGAAGTACGAGTACACTGTGCTGTGTTTAAATTATTAAATCATTTCATTATATTATGTAGAGCCGTCCAAATGCTTATGTGAAAAGATTGGTCGACCTAATAGGCTATACTAATCACAGGTAGGTAACTAGGTACTTATAATTGGAGAAAAATTATGGCATCGTAAGTGATATTGCAAGTGATGGTACATTTTTAAAAGTAGAGATCGTGGATCTACCTACCATCGCAAATGGTATGATCATTATCTTTCCATCTTCAAAATCACCGCTGGTATTTTTAAAGCACTGCAGATTGCCATCGCCCACCATCGCGGACTATCATGGGTCGCGCGACCTGTCATTGATGTGGTTGAAGCTTATGGAGAAAAATTATCGCGTCTCTAACATCGCAAATGGTACGAATGTCTTTCCGTTTTCAAAATCAAAGTTCCGGGAAAGAGTTTGCCGCTCGCTCTGCTATCGTAAAATGGTATCATTTCATTTTCATAAGCATTTTCTTATATTTTCAAAGTAGGAGATTAATGTTCTGCCATCGCAAACGGTATATTTTCCATTGTTAAAAACAACGCAATTTGTTTTCAATTAAGGAGAGCATGACTCTACATCTACCATCGCAAATGCTATTACTTTATTTTCAAAAGCACCGGTTTGTCTTCTCAAGGTACTCGTTCTTGGATTTACCATCTCAAATGGTACTTTTCCATTTTCAAAAGCTGGGTTTTTCTGCTTTTTTTTATCGAGGATGGAGACATCTCGTTTTTCGCACGAGTCTTGGCTCGGTCCCCTCTGAACGCAAGCTAATCGCTGACGTCCGAACGGGTTATCGTGGGTCTCGATCCGCGGAAGCCGCTGCCATGTGGGTCGGGCAGAAACGCGTTGTTGGGACAGCTTTTAATATAACCTATTTGTGAGAAAATCTAGACAATAATAAACCTTCCTAAGTAATAGAGAACCAGAAAAAAAATACGATTGATGGCCCCAAAAATTCCGGAAAATAGTCGGTAAAAGGATATTTTTGAATACTCGTACGTTTCAATTATATTGTTGGTGGTGAAATCGTTTACACTTTCATGTTTGTCTTTTTTAAAACTGATAAATAAAACCTTTAGGTTTTGAAATAATATGTATATTAGAATAGTGGAATGCACACTCTAGCAAATCGCCTCTATTTTATTTATTAAAGTTGAAACTGATAGTAATTGAAAAACGTAGCCTTAAACTAATCAAGCTTTTCGGAGCTTAGTAGATTTTTGTTCCTGGTCAAAAATATGGGTCAGATAGCTATGAGTTTAGGTAGAACTAGGGAATTTCAGAGAACTGATACTTTAACCATATTTCAACTTAATTTCCAGGGTCCAAACAGATCCTGCATGGCGTCCACGGCAGGCTGCGGCCGCGGCAGCTCATCGCCATCATGGGCCCCTCAGGAGCCGGCAAGTCCACACTCCTGGACGTGCTGTCGGGATACCGCATCTCCGGAGTTGGAGGAGCGGTCTTCGTCAACGGGAGGGGAAGAATCATGAGTGAGTCATGTTATATTTACAGTAATTTTTTTTTGAAGAGATGGAAAGGCCCGCTAGCTACCTGGATGACAAATAACCAAAGAGACATGAGGCAGTTGGGTCTGTCTGATGACGATGCTTAGCAGTGAAAAGACTTGTGCCGCATGTTAGGGAAAACCGACCCCACATAACTTAAAAAGCGCTTTTACACGTCTCAGTTAAATCCTAACACCGCTTCAGGACAATAATGTGGACCAGTGCCGAGAAGAAACAGCCCAAGAAACTCAGGCACAACTTTTATTGCTAGCCTAAAGATTATAAAACCTAGCGTCAAATGCATATTTATAAGTAGCTTATCAAGATCGACTCTCAGTGCCTTATTTTTAAGTGAACCCTACGGTAATACATAACAGGAGTTTTGATACCATAGGGGTCACTTAAAAATTAGGGATTGATGGTGAAAACGGACATTAGATACTTTTACTCAGTGCCAGATATACCTACTAAGACCTATTTTAGACTTCGTCTTTTAATTTTCAAGCAAATAACTGTTATAATTTAGACTTTGCTGGGGGTATCTTGTTTTATTAAGTACTTATACGTATCTTAACGAGATAATACATTATTTATTATTGCATTGTCACATGAATGATTACGATTTAATCTTCCTTGTTTGTGCGCACTGACACGGAATATTATGAGAATGGACACGTGGGTTGTGGACTTGTGGTTGTAACGCAATACCACAAAATGACTTGTTTAACGTTATGGATATTGCCTATTATCTCCTCCTTCTTGAAGAACCTAATTAATAATTTAATAACGTGTGTATTATCACAGAATAAATAACTAGTACATTTGTATCTGTATGAGTGACGTGCGCACCACTTTTTGTAGAATCAGTGCGATTCGTAATTTTCTTTCGAATTCCCAACAATTCCGAATGGTCGGACGGATTGAACGATTTTAATCATACGAAAATCATTCCTTTCCTATACCTACAATTTAGTTTTACTTGTAGGTATGTATTCTGTACTTATCAATGCTAAGTAGATTAATTATTTGCAAGCTGACATTGGTATTTATCAGTGAAGTACCTACGCCTCACAACAAACTGCAAGGAAGTGTGAACCCGGATTCTGAACTAGGCGTTTATCATAAGCGTTGTTTATGTATCGCATCTATATGAATGAGAATGTAATTGGTTGATTTGATTTCTAATTATTCTGTAATCGTGTTTAACGCTCTAGAAACGTGATTTGTGGACGATCGGAATGGCACTTACCTTCACACAATGATAACAGAGCAGTCATATACCTAAATAATATGAGTAATTAGTTCATGTCTAACGGATTTAAAGTGTCCCTGGGACGCCATTATTGAAACCAATAGCTCAATTCTTAATGGTTATGTTGCTATGGTTGGCTGGAAGAAATCTCTAGACATAAGATCCTATGTACTGGTGATCCCAGTATCTATGTAGTTCCATATTTCTTGGTTGAATCTGTTTGAACATGTAAATCTTAGTAAATAGCTAGTGTTTTTTTTATTCACAACGAGGAAGCTCTTGGCCTGTATCTCACCTGATGGTAAGTGATGATCAGGTCGAAGGTGGAAGCGAGCTTCACCCGGAATCCTTAACTACGGAGGAACTGGCTATCTCACCTCTAACTGCCGGAACACAACAATGCTGTTAACATTGTTGTTATGGCGACAGACTTAGATAAGATGGTGGTAGCTAGCCAGGCGGACTTAGAACAAGCTCTACCACCAACCATGTTGTCATGTCAGGTCATGTTTCATTAGACGACAGCACATTGAGCAATCACTATGACATGTTATGTATAGTTTGTGATAGAAAATGTGTAGTCGACTGTACATAACATATCGTAGCTACACCTTGAACTAAGAGGGCGCCTTACATACATTAGAATTTAGATTACGTTTATAATTGTGGGGTTTCATTTAAATGCTAACCGTTTATGTCTGAATGGCAAATCAATATGACTAGCCTATTGACATTAGCCTAAACTAAATATGTACGAGTATTTCGTTGGTTAAAGTCGATAGGAAAAGTGAAGATATTTTCAATGATAGAATTGGTAAGAACAAAAATTGGAATTTTAATTTCTTTCATTGAACTGAAGCCTTTGTCTTCTTTTTACCCGACCACGCCGGAAAAGGGTTATTTTTCTAGCCTTTTTATGCAATTTTCCAGAAAACTTCAAGAAGATGTCGTGCTACATCCAGCAAGACGATCGCTTGCAGGGTCTGTTAACAGTCGGAGAGAACATGGCGCTGGCAGCCGACCTCAAGCTGCCCACCACCATGGACAAATATGGAAAGGGGGAGATCGTAAGTCAACCCTTTTATACTCATGCCCGCTTTCAGTGAACTGCTCCTGAATCAATACTACTGCTATTTCTATTTATTTATATTAACCGGCAGACAGTGGTGACTGAGTTTGTTGCGGCGCTTGTTCTCAGCACTTGCCAAAAACATTTCTTTTTACCCTACCAGCGCTTCGAGACCAACAGGTCTCGAAGCGCTGGTAGGGTAAAAAGATTATGAGACATGTAAAGGCTCCTTAAGAGCAAAATATCTGACGATTTGTAAGTACTATTTAATAGTCTAAACAAATAAAGAAATTTTGACTTTGACTTTTCACCATCAATCCCAAATTTTTTAGTGACCCCCATGAGAACGAAATTCCTTTTATTTGTTATCATAGGGATCATTAAATTAGGGATTGATGGTGAAAACGGGCGTTAGTTTATTAAAAGAGAGAAGAGTCTGCTTCGTTCGTATAAGCCACATGATTTCCACCACCGACAAAGGCCTCTCCCAAGGATTTCTACAAAGACCGGTCTTGCGCTGCACGAATCTTCCTCAATAAGTATTAATATCATAACTGCGAAAATAAATCTGTCAGTCACCATTTCACGACCACTAATGAACTGATTTTGATGTATAGAAATAGTTTGAAACCCAAAATATGGATAGTTTTTGAACTTACATCGAAACTTTTGAATTAATATTAATACGAGTATGATACTATCATACCACTTCGAAACGCAAAAAGGTGACGCACGCACGCAGTTGCAGCGTTGCAAAAGAGGAAGGAAGAAGAGTCAGCAATCAAAATCTATTCTAGCTATTATTGCAATCGACAATAAAAACCGACACTATTAACGATACAATTTTCCTACAAGTTTTAATAGATGTTTATTGCATTTTTATGTAGAGTAACAGATATCTTCATCGCGCGCTGACCTTGCTATTTAATTTGTTCTAGATAGAAGACATCCTAACAAACTTGGGCTTGTACGAGCACATCAACACTCGAGGAGCCCAGCTGTCAGGGGGACAGAAGAAACGACTCTCCATTGCCTTGGAGCTGATCAACAATCCACTAGTCATGTTCCTTGATGAACCTACCACGTTAGTATGATCGTCATATGGTAGAATTTTAGTAGTAGTTTCTATATTTTAATTTGTCACTATTTTGCAATAGTCGGAATTTACCAGCACAAGTTCATAATCACTACTGCTGGATTAGATATGCCTTTATATTAATAGTTAACCTTTCTTCGTCAAGAAAATAGTCTGAAGTTTCAGAGGAACTAAATGATCAATTTTGTTTTCCTTGAAAACTGAACAGGACCCTATAAGCATGTACCTATTAATGGCCACGTCACGGCAAACCTCCATAGGGAAATAAAGATTTAGTACATACTTAACTGTTTGTTGTCCCAAATAAAGAGAGAGAACTTCAACAACTCTCTTTAAAACTTGGCAAGAAATCTATTAGTCTTTACTTATGATTCTTTATGAACCTTTACGTGAGTCACTGGTTTATTTTTAAGTATTACCTTGGTTCAAGTCCGACTTAACTGTCGAGTTACACAGCAAAAAAAAAAAGAAAAAATCAGCAACGATTCTTCATGAACAAGAAAAAGAACGACTGGACTGATCAATTTGCAGCTTTGCATCATGGCCCAATATCATGTTAATGTGTTACTGGACTTAGAGGATTTACAAGGTCATCTAAACAATATCCCGATGAAGAAGACTGAGTTTGTTGCAGCGCTTCTTCTCAGCACTTGTCAAATGTTTGTCTCGAAGCTCTGGTAGGGCAAAAAAAGAATGAGACATGTATAGGCTCCTTAAGAGTATTTGACGATTTGTAAGTACTAATTTAATTAGTCTACAAATAAAGATAATTTTGATTTTGATTTTAAAGTAGTACGCACTGAACAACAAAACAAATAGAACGGAACGAGCGTTGCGCGCGCTTTATCGCATGAGGCCGTGACCTTCGCGAATGCTGACTTACGAGCAAACACACTTACTGTACCTAGTCCTCAACCCTGTTCTGTAAAACAACCTGTCCATAACATGCAGTTACATGCACTATGACATTCGTCAAAAGAGTGCAGGAGCTATTTTTCCGCTATTTAAAAAGGCGTTTGTATTTTTAATTGTTTTTGTTGGAGACGTAATCTAATACCGACTATGATACTTGATGTAATTAATATTTAGCTTCCGGATGCAAATCGGGTGTTGACGATAGTGTTTTTTTTATGTAAGGAACTATGGAACATTGTAAAGAGAAGTGGACTGCATGATATTTTTGAATCAAGTTTTAGTTCTAATCAAATCTTTTGAATTAGTAAGATCACATCATTGATCAATCATTCCAAGGCATAACTTTTCTCAAACATCTTCAGTTTGGCCCAGAAGAACAAGCTGAAAGTTAGTTTTCAATTAACCATCAGATAAAAAGTTGTTCAGTTAAGTTACTAGTGGATGATTTAGTACAGTCCTATTTCTTTAGTTTTAATAGCGTTATTGTTGTTTACTCCTTTACTAGACTGAATTAACCCGAACATACTTGATTGATATAGGTAATACTGATCGTATTCTTCAATTTCAGAGGGTTGGATAGTTCATCGTGCTCACAAGTAGTCCAACTATGCCGAAACTTGGCTCACCAGGGTCGAACCATCGTCTGCACCGTCCACCAGCCTTCAGCGTCTTTGTTCGCGCTCTTTGACCATGTCTACATTTTGGCAGCAGGCCAGTGCCTCTACCAGGGTACCACGCAGAATCTGGTGCCCTATCTGAAAGGAGCTGGTGTACCCTGTCCGATTTACCACAATCCTGCTGATTACGGTAGTTTATCAAATATCCTTCTTTTGATAACATAATATACACTTATGTAGGGTTGTGTTATGAATATGATTCGTTGCCATAGTCTTTTCCAAATGTCTTTTGTTTTTCAAGGAATCAATTTATTATAAAGCATTATTTTGATCTTGGCACGATATTCAATCACTTGGCATTTCTATTTTATGTTCCAGTAATCGAATTAGCATGTGGCGAGTATGGCGACGACAAAATTCAGATCCTGACATCAAAGGCTGAGAACGGCAGATCCTTAGACTGGTTTGAAGAGCCTGAGACGATCCCCACGATGGAAGCCCTCAGGAAGATGTGTCCCCTTAGCGTGCTGAGGGATCAAGACACAGGTCCCGCGGACGAGGAGACCTCGCAATCCAACCAAAGATCTGTACTTATCAAAAGAGGATTCTTGAAAGCCAAACGAGATTCTGTAAGTAATGTTACCTTTTAAAGAACCTGATTTAACTTGTGTCAATTTTGTAAAATAAGCTATGGTCAAAGCGAAGTTGTTGAAGTTGTCACTGGTGCAATAGAGTCAGCTTCTCGTGGTAAGCTAAAAATGCTTGTGTTACGAGTGGCTTCACCACAGTAGTCTTCTGACGGCGGGGTAAATGATGTCGTCTTATAGCTATCTAACATTATTATTCTTCATTTCAGACGATGACCCATCTGCGAATAATTGTGAACGTGGTGGTCGGCATCATGCTGGGGATGCTCTTCATAGACGCCGGCAACGAAGGCTCCCGGGTCATTGAGAACTACAACCTTCTATTCGCCATCCTTATGCACCACATGATGTCACCCATGATGCTGACTATCCTCACTTGTGAGTTGATTGAATACTTGGAGTTCACTAGTTGGAGTAAAAGAAATGTATTTAATTTAAAATATTAAATGCAATTTCATATGCTTTACGTTCGTTCTCTTTCTGTTTTCAGTTCCATCAGAGATGTCTATTTTATCAAAAGAACATTTCAACAGATGGTATTCGTTAGGATCATACTACATATCAATAACGATAGTGGATTTGCCAATATCTGTGAGTATATTTCATTGTTGCTAAACTGGTTGGTTATATCCCCATTTCTTTTTCTCTGAGGTTCTATATTTCTGTGTTTGTATTTGTTTTTTCCAGATCTTCGCCTGCGCAATCTTTTCAGTGATTGTATACACGATGTCGGCTCAACCACTGGACATCGTGCGGTTTTCGATGTTCTTTGTGATCTCACTATACACAGTCCTCGTGGCGCAGAGCTTCGGGCTTATGATCGGTGCTGCCTTTAGCGTTGTGGTGAGTATTGGTAACCACTGCTTCCTAGGTCTTCTTACAATGTTAATTTGACTAGTACGATTGATTTTTCTCTGTGACTTCTATTGTCGTTTGAATATAGAGTAATAAAAACTGTGCCTATGCGAGACACATTTCTGACTCTTCATCTCTTTGTTTCTAGAACGGCACATTCTTGGGTCCAACATTATCAGTTCCCATGATGATGTTCGCCGGTTTCGGAGTGACTTTGAAAGATCTACCACCATACCTGTACTGGGGCTCGTATATTTCGTATTTACGCTACGGGCTCGAAGGTTTTGTAGGCGCTATCTACGGACTCAACAGGGATATTCTAGACTGCAAGGCAGAGTACTGCCATTACAAGTAAGATTTATTTATATCTTTGAAGGATGATGATAACCAATTTCCACCAAAGGCAAAATTGTTTATTGTGAAGTTAGATGGATGAGATAGATAACAAACGTGTAGGACTTATCCTCCTAACTTTGCTGCTTGAGGTATAGCTTTATCCAAAGTAAAAGGTAATCTGCTTACTATGTAGATGAGTAATACAAAATAACATAATTCTTGATATTTCTATTCAGGTACCCCCAGCAGTTCCTGACTGAAGTGTCTATGTCTCCCGACATGTTCTGGTGGGACGTGCTGGCGCTCACCGTCACTGTCTTCGCGATGAGGGTGGCCGCGTTCCTGCTCCTCAAATGGAAGCTCAACGCTGTTCGATAGAACCATAGCTACGCTGTTTGGTCGAGACTGGTCCGAAACCAATGAATCGTATTTGCTCTCAACAGTTGGCGCCATTGTAGTGTAACCAGACCAGTGTAAGATCATATCACTTACTAGTGGCTAAGATAATTGCGCCAACTAGTAGGTAGGAAGTATATTCCAATAGCCTTCATTACAATAACTCTTCACCTTTCCAATACTGAGTTACTGAGTGGTAATATCATGGATATGTGGTTACTCGCACGTCAAATGGATAGCTCCATATTAAGAATAGTTGAAGCAATGGTTAGCAAATAGATTTTGTAAGTTAGTGATCAGTCCTGATTATTGTAGGTTGTAAATTCTGGTCAGAAAAATAAGAAAGCGGTCGCTAGTCGATATTTTGTTGCAGCTTCATATTTGAAGCAGTCCCCTTAGGCAAAGTTACGTTTCGTGCTTGTTTTAATTCCGAAGTCGTAAGACTTTACGACGTAACGTTCCTTTGTCTTGGGGAGAGCGGGTCACATTCAGGGCCGTCTTTAACCAACTAGGGGNTACTAGGGGCCCTTGGCACGAAAGGATCAAGGGGGGCCTTGTGATTTGGAGCAGGGGACTCCAAACTACGGCCCGCGGGCCATATCCGGCCACTGCCATCAATCCGGCCCGCGACAGCTTAAGACTTAGCCTATGTTTGCATAGGTGGGCAGAAAAATTAAAATTGTTATGGCCCTTGCAACATACCGAAAAAAGTTTTATGGCCCCAAGGCTTCAAAGCTTGGAGACCCCTGATCTGGAGAAAGGTCTTCTAAGCAGATGGGGGCCCCCTCGGTCGCAAGGCCCTGGGCACGTGCCCAAAGTGCCCAGTGGGAAAGAGGGGCATGGTCATATTATCATCTTATGGGAAATTATGTTTGTCAAAATTCACAACAAAGTTTTAGCATTCCATACAAATTGATGGGGAAGAAGCATTTATCGGAATTGATGAGTTTTGGGATTGGTGCCTATTTGCCAAAACTATAAGTCCAAATTGCAATGTAACTGTGATACTTAACTGAATTAATAGTGTTAGGAATACAACCCTAACATTTTGGTTCAGTCTTATAAAAAAACACTTATGAACGGTCACAAGTACAGAAAAGAGTCATTGGATTTGCTTGCCATAAAAAGAGTGAGGTGATAGAATTTATAAAATATGATATTTAAAAACAAATGATATTTGTAGATGTTTGTGTTAAGCTTTTTATAAATCGTTTTTACATCAAGCTCAATTAATTATAACTTAGCATGAATTCCGTCACAATAGGCTAGTTGCCTAAAAAAATTTTTTTAGTCCGTAATGTTTAATATCAAAAAATATTGGACACGTATATTTTTATTTGTCAATCTAACAAATAATTACATAGTTATGGTGCGTTGAAGTTGCGCACGACGTCACAACGTGCGGCATTTTTAAGCAAGCGTTGACGTCACGGGCCTCTTCTTATGAACTTTGGGGCGCTTTATCTCTTTAAATTTTCATTAGTTTGAAAAAGTGAAAAATACGTGTAGAGTATTTTTTGATAAGTTAACTGACGGACTAATTAAAACTCTTGCTTTTTGACCCAGGCAACATCCCCATTCACTATAGTGCAGAACGNCACGTTATACACTTTACTGCAATTTCAACAATTTATAAAACTATTTCAAGTAATTTGAAATATAATTTTCGGTAAAGGTTTTATAGAAACTTTGATAAGGAATGATGTTTAATTCGTCGTACTTAGACATATCGCTGTGAGTGCTTTATTGTGTTCTTCACATATTATTTGTACCTACGCAATGTAGGAATTGTACACACTGGTGTGTTCTTAGGTTTAAAAAGTATGGTTGCTCAATCTTAGTTGTTCACTTAGGTAACCTGAAACTAAATATTAGCGGACATTTAATATTTATTTTTATTTGTAAAAGATATTATATTTCAGCAAACGAAAATATTAATTTACTCAATTCAAATGTATACTAATTTTCCATATTTAAGTACATATACCTAAAGTTAATTAGTTGGTTAAGATTCAAAACTCGATATCATCCGAATTAAAATGTTGCTAACTCGAATGAAATAGAGTCGATAACTCTAAATTTTCTCTAACATCGAGTAAGGAATGTTTTAAACTTTCGGGTTTTAATGTTATTTATTTTTTAACTAAAGTATAATTTATTGTTTAAATAATTTGGGGATATCAAGGTAATTTTTGATATTGACGCTACTAAAGTTGTTAAATATACAAATTAGCTAAGTGAGAGTTGAAAGTTATTATTCTAAAGTTAGTTAGTAAGTTTTATATTATTTTTAAATACGTATTCACCTTAAGTTTTTACTAGTATGATGCCTTTGTTTCGTATTCAAAAATCCAAATAATTTATAAATTAATGTAGATAGACTGTCATGATTAAATAAATGAATTTTTAATTTTATAAATTAAATTGGTTTTAATACTCGGTATCTTGTGAAAGTACCTAACCCTTTCAGACCTGAAAATTTTTTTCTACAAAATTTATGTTTTCTCGGATTTTATGTAACATTTGGTCCATAAGGAAGACAAGAAAAATAATATAAAAATTTTTCGACTTTCCAATTTTTCAGAAAAGTACCCGCACTATCGTGCGGGTTAGGACTAAGTGCACTATACGCACGCTCGTGCATAATTAAAAAATTAGAGGAAATCCATAAGAAAAGACCCACTTTTTTGGATATTATTATTAAAATTTAATAATTATGATTATTATGATTGATATGACTTCATAAAAGCTGATGCTTTTACTTGAATAAAACCATTCCAACTCATGACCCTTGAAGTGTTATGAGCTCCTGGTGGAAAAGTTAGAGATTATCATAACAAATGTGTTGTATTTCCATTTTAAGAGAGCCAAGTCATCAAACACGAATTATTCTGACTCTCCTCTTTTCATCATAAGGTCAGACATGAAATTTATCGTTTTTCGTTGAAAAATACCATTCATCATAATGGTGCTAGTGCCAATCAAAGGCAATCGCTGTCAAATTTCTAATAACATGACTGACGCTGGTGTAAAACCTGTCGAAGTATATAAATCTGTGTGGAGGAACTGCTTAAGTATACAAAATTACTAGTGCACCAACATCCTGCTCTTACTCAGCAAAAGCTGTACTTGCATCCAAATAAATACTGAAATCAAGCATCAGTCTTCCAGCTGTTAAAAGCCAAACAGAGCAAAATTCATTTCTTACAACCTGCATCTGTCAGTAACGTAATATACTCATTATATAAAANCCTAAGAAAAGAAATTATAATAACCTACTCCAGTAATTTAGGCTGGTAAGTTATTTATTATTTTTATGCATAATTTTAAATGCTTTGTTTATAAGTGAACGCCTGAAAATAAACCTCTTTCCCACTCAAAAGTATCTCTCCTCAAAATAATTTAAATAGCAATTGGCTACTGCTCTACATCACACTACCAACCCCTACATTTTTAATCATAATATTTTTTGCTATAAAATGAGGCCTCTTATGAGTTAATTATTATTACTGAAATAATTAACTCATAAGAGGTTTAAAACAATATACTCCTAAGAGTTGCCTTTGCTTACTGCCCAATGGGATGGTTGTTATGGTTAATTCGGCACTGGGGGCCCCGTATCGATGATACGGCTGGTACGGTGGTAGCTAAGCTACATCCTTGGCCCTACGACACTCCAGGATTTTTATAAGTTCGTCGAATAAACTAATATCAAAGGCGCCTGTTATTCTCTAGCTTAGGTTGTGGACGCCTGCAAATAATTTACGGCAACAAACAATCTCAGGATAATAAACCGATAAGAATATTAAAGGCGTTTAGTTCGTTGCTGGGATTTTATGATTAACTTTCGTAGCGAACCGTCTAAACTCTAAATATTCGTAGCGAATCAACTTGTAAAGTTTTATGTAAAAAAAAATTTTTGAAAAACAATTCATCTACTTTTTAATTCGTACGCGTGGCCTGTTTTACTTTGGGGTTGAATTTTGGGAAATCCCGTCTTGGTAAGCACCTAGCTCTAGGCCCTAGGGATTTTTCTAAAAGGAACCCCCATGCAAAATTTGAGACTCCTAGCACTTGTAGTTTTTGAGATTCGTGATGAGTACCTAAGTGACCTTTCGCTTTTGTAGATATAGATTTATTCGATTTCACTTATGAGATAACAAAACTGTTACAACCTTAGAAATTACCTCATCATCATCATCATCATTTCAGCCATAGGACGTCCACTGCTGAACATAGGCCTCCCCTAATGCTTTCCACGTTGATCGATTGAGAAATCGTTGGGAAATTACCTATAGTCTACATAAAAATGATAAAACTTTCATTAACTACTAACACATTGTTCACTTGAAAAAATTTCAATATATGGTCAGAGGTCCAGTTTTGATCAGTGGATCATCATCAGACATAATATCGTGATGGTCACCGGACACGCTGTTGACGACTGATCACCGCCCCTTGTTTGGGATCATCGAGTCAAAGATCAGTGCGTGCGCAAGTCACACGTCAATCTGTCTAGAAGACGGCAAAATCGATTCATGCTTCAATAGATGCTCAATTTTGTATATAAGATAACATAGACTTGCAATTTTGTATATAGATTATAGGTACATAAGATAATAATTAATTATAATGTAACAGAGGTATAAATGTGTCAGTGATCTCAATATCTCCACTTTAAAGAGGTTCAATGAAATTACAAGTAACATACAAAGCATTCCAATGTTAGTTAGACTTTATTAGCTTGCAAAATTGCCATATTGTTAGGCTGGAGTGCCAAAATATTATTTTTATTTGCAATCGGCTAAGGCAATCGGCAATTATTAAATTTCTGACAAAACAAAATACTATGTCAAGTTTAATCTCGTTTTTTTATCAGCCTATAGGTATTAAACGGCTTTCAAGTTATGTAATGAACAATGAACGAATTAATGTTACCTACCTCTACTTAAGATTACAAGAGGTCAAGTGATTATTAAAATTAACAAAAATATTAATAAAAAATAAAATATTATTAAACAATCACTTGATTAACAATTAAATGATCGTAAAGAAATGCAGGCGAATACTTTATTCAATAAATGTGTGTGTGTGTGTGGCATTTTTAACCGACTTCTGACTGTTTTAGTAATAACATGTTGAAAATTGACTTTTCTATTTTTCAAATAACATATTACATATTAGTAGTATTCAGTATCCTTTTCTAAAGATCCTATAAACATTTTGCTATTACTTTTAAATGATGACACAGGTTAAGGACCTGTAACTTCGTAAGTATGCAGGGTTTATTGTACTTACAATAAAGCAAAATAAATACTTGCAATACTAGTATTAATGAGCTCAAACTAGGCCGAAGTCCGGTCTACCCTTATGGAACTGGATCAACGAGTACTGCCAAGACAGGACTATTATAGTCTGTATCTAATATCAAAATAGATTTACAATGTCTGTATGTTCATTATGTTTAAGAATTAAATACGATTATACTTTACTAGCTGTGCCCGCGACTTTGTACGCGTGAAAATAATTTGAAGAATTTCCCGTTTTTGCAACATTTTTCTTCACTGTTCCGCCCCATTGGGCTGTAGTAGGGTGATGTTATATAGCCTAAAGCCTTCCTCGATAAATCTGCTATCCAAAACAAAAATATTTTTTCAAATCGGACCATAGTTCCGTCCTGAGATAAACGCGTTCTAGCAAATAAACAAACTTCAGCTTTATTACATAATATTATTAGTATAGATAGATTAAGAATATGTTTGTCATTATTTTTTCATTACTTACTCAAGCTCCTGCGCCTGCGACTCAGTATAACATTAAATAAATCGCATCTTCCGCGACGCGAACTTTAAAGATTTTCTTCTGACACAATCATGGTGCCCCAACAATATTGGTGTTATTTGAAAGCCCAATAAGTATCCTTTAAAAAAAACACATTTAATTTCTTAATAAATGATTCACATAAACCATAAATGTGACTTGAAAAAAGACCTCACTTTGGGCTCACCTCTGGGATCAATTAGATTAGACCAATTTTTATGGTTATAAATAAATAAATAATAAATAAATATCCTTGGACATTTTACACTACGCTTCTAATCCCAAACTAAGCAAAGCTTGTACTATGGGTACTAGACAACGGATATAAACATACTTAAATACTTTTTCTTTTTTGTAAATACACACATAGTCCAGTCAATGAATGCCTTAACGACGGTGTAGAGAGAAAT